CGGCAAAGTCCATTCCTGAGCTCATAGCATCGCTCGCAAAATCCATTGGAGACAGGTCAGCCAACACAGATGAGGGGCCGGAACCAGATGGAAAGTTGCTTCCGTAGTTGTGCAAATGATGGCCATGTGTGAGGTGTAACTGAGAGTTAGAATCCATTGACCCTAAAGTTCACAGTAAAAAGGACACAAATCTTGACTAAAGGATCAATTTTTCGAAAAAACGAAGCGAAAATAAGGATCGGAAATGCTTGTCAGAAACGTTAGCAAACGAATATTGCTGAGTAATGTAGCTTACAAATACAGATGAAAATTCCAGCACGAAAACGCACCATAACCTAACAACGAGTGAGTTGCAGCTCCACCGTTGCTTGTTACATGGCGTGGAAGTTGAGGTATCACTGATGTGGGAGTGGTAGCTATTCCGGTAGGTGATGTCGACGGAGGAACCACACCTCCGGAACCAGCAGAAGATCCAGATCCTGGTTGTCCTGCTCCGGTGTTATGGTCCGATGAAGAACCTGACGGTTCCACGGATGACGGGAAACTGTCCGGATCTTCATACTTAAACTAGAAAAATTACTGAAATTTAGATCGAAAGAAATAAAGACAGAATAATTGAGACAATGATCCTTTTTGCAGCCTACTATTTACTCTGGGGGTATATCTAATCCCGTAACGATGTGAACCTCTTCCATCATCTATCAGTAGCTCATCCATAATTACAGCTCATGCATAACTGAACGAAGCATGGCCCCTCACTAATTACTTCCCCTCTTCAGACCAAACAAGTAATCGATTTAGCACAGCGCGAACTAGCAAACAAAAAGGTTGTCACTCTGTCGGGATGAATTAGCGAAAGCAAACGGAAGCAATTTGTAAGCACATAAAAATCAATAGCCTTGGGATGAAGCTAGAACTCTAGTCAAATTACCTTTTCACTTGTCCCGTGGAACAAGCTGTTATGCCCATTCGAAGTACCCAAACCCAGGTTATCCTCGCATCCAATGCGCTGACGCTGAATACAAGCTCGCATCTGTAAGAGCAAGAACGTGAAACGATTGGTCGTGAAACATTAAAATACAAATATATATGCATTGTAAATAAGTAAAACAAAATGGAAAAATTGTGCGAAAATTTCGGTAACAGCGAGGATTCGATTAAGAACCAGCGATATAAGATTATTTCATTGTTTAAAACACTCATATACATGCGAACTAACTTACCTTCAACTTCAACTCCAACGATTTGCGCTCGCCCTCGACTGTGAAACGATAGCGTACCTCAAACGGGATAGATAAAATGACGTTTATGAGAAAAAGCTAATATTGGGGGCGACAACGTACAAAAAATTCCTTCAGTCCGTGATCGTTTTTGCAATGCGAAATGAGCGCATATTCTGTCGGAAACTTTGCGAATCGACATCGTTCACACCTGATGAACATCAACACTTATTGTTACAACTATACGTCACCGAACTTTTTGCAGAAGAAAAATATAGCAGGGCTCATTGAAACGAGTAGCTTATATCTCTTTATCAGATGAATGCTTTATGAATACTACTTTCAAGAAATCTTTATCTTCTAAAAATGGATCTTTCGATCAGTTTATGTAATTGTTTTTCCACCTGAGAAAAAAATGTCGCGAAAGAGTTATATTTGTGTTGCGGTTTCGGCAATGTACACAATCAGATCAACGAAATATCATTTTTCATGGTAATTTCCTCTACAAGACTTTTTTCAAGCTTTACCAAAATCTGGTACATTTCCCTGATAGCCTCTTCAATGTGTTTGCACAGGTTACGTTTTTATTGAGAAATTAGACGTGAGCGAGATAAGCCATCCCAAAATCAGGTATCAGTATCACTCCGAAGTAAAAAAGAGAGGTTCTAGCAGGAAACAGGTTCTATGATCTTGTATCTAGCATTGCACCACTATCCGTAGTGTCACGTTGCGCACAGCTGTCTTTCTTGGGTAATGAATGTGAAAGCCGTTTGGGTGACATTTCCAGATTTTTCAAAAGATCCATCAGAAATCCACAAAACGGACTCGCGATTCGGATTCCGTATGAAGAGAATCAGTCAGGTACATGTTGAAGCCCCTCAAAAAAAGAGGACTGCGTCGACCTGGTATCTCTTGCCCGTGAAGTAATCAAAGGAAAAACACTTGAACTGCTACGAGAAAGTAAAACGAAGCTTACTCATATGGGCAGTAATTCAGGTGATCACTTGCGATGTGGATTTCTAACTCTTCTGGTGTTGGGAACCTTACTGATTCACCGCTGCAATCCAAGCATGGATATGATGTCGTTGATATGTGATTTTGGTTCATCTGAAAATCATTTCGAATTAAAAAAAAAACTACCACATTTTTAATGTCCCATCGTCCTGGGATTAAAATTTGGCATAATTTAGGCGCCATACGAAACTTTCAAGGCACCTCGGCATAACCTTTCAGACCAGCATGAAGAAATTGAGCGCTAATACTTGCGGGGATCTGATGTTTATATTAGCTCAAATGCGAAAAATCACTGTTCATAGTCAATTTCGAAATTAAAGTGAAAATTATAGATGTTTGACTTTCTAAGGAATGGTGTACAACACGTAGCCATGTTTACAGCCGGATAGAGAATGTCTTCAAAGTCAAGACCAAACAGTTGCCTTCTACCCACCTAAGCATCTAATCACTTCAAAAAGAAAAAAAAACCCTCAGAGATAGGAACCTTCCATACTTGTCACCACACTGACTTTAATGATTCCCTATGGGCTATAAGAAACTTAGAGAGCTTGGAATCATAACTTAGAGATGGGAATCTCCCATACATGTTCTCCTAAATGAACTATAGGTATTTTGCAGCCTGTAAGGATGCAAGACAGACAGAAAACACAGTTCTGAAAAAAAGAGCTGCGCAGGATGCGCTGTAACGAAGTTGCCGAATTATGGAACTTCACAAACCACAAAACTAAGAAAACTTGCCATCAAAACAAAACATCAAACCAAAATAAGAAAATTTTAATAGATAAAAGGCTCTAAAACAAACGCTTAATATGTGAAAACTGGCAATTCGAAGTAATTATTACTTGTGCCATAACCATGGAAACCGCTGCATATCTTAGCAATAATCTCAAATATCTGCAATTTCTTTGCAGCATGTTTCCATAAGAAGAAACTCAGCTTTTCCCGACTGCAGGATGAGTCCTGCAAGTCTTCTGGGATTAAAAGATTGGTTTGGTGGAAGTACTCCCTCGTCATTGAGAATCCTAAGCTTAGTCTTCTAATGAATCCTTTCAGGCAGATTTATTGTCACATATGAATTGTTCAGGTACCGCGAATATTAGGCAAAAGTATTCTGTACAAAGTTAGGGGGCAAAAAGCTTGAGAAAAACGAGCAACAACATAAAATTATATACAATATATGTACATATACGGTGAAACTGAGTAAATAGGGTTCATCGGGAAGTGTTCAACAGGAAAGCAGAATGCACCAAATGTAGGAACGTATGCAACATTGCCACAGTCAAATGCAAGATGGGAACTAATGAAAGCTCCTGAACTGTTTCCTGTGGCATCAGCAGGTGAATGCACACATGGGTGTCCGAAGTGTGAGAAATAACGGTCATTAAAAGCACTCGAAGGAATGCTAGGGAACAAAAAAAGAGCCATCATGACTATATGAAACACCCAAGCTTTTAAAGATAAACAGTTTCAAACAGCGGATAGTTGGCGAACTTTCGTAAAACCTAATAAATGTTCTTTGATCAAAATGTTAACTCAAGCAACGGATGATAAAAACCAAAAAAGAAGTTGAAAATAGTAAAACAACAAACCTTTCATGAATGTGGAGCGAAGCCTTTTGTACGGATACAGGTATAGACGGCGCGAGACGACAATCGATGCAACCGCTCACTTCCTCTCCCTCTCTCTTTCTTTCCTATTCTCTTCCTTCTAACAGCACTCTTATCGGGCGTGGGGACGAGAGACCGCGTAGGGGGAAGAGAGAATGAACGACAGGGTCCAGCCCTCGATCGACGGGCGAACACGATGGAACAGGAGGAATGACGGCAACGACCGAGAGAGTATGCCCGATCACGAGACATGGAAGAGAAACGGAGGAGGATGACCAGTACCGCCGTCGCGAGCATCGATCACGTCGCATGCGGCGGGATGATCTCCACCGATGTGTCGCATGCGCGCAACTCGTCCACCATCCGAGTTCCCTCCTCCTCTCTGCGAGGAGGTCCTTATCGGCCGAGATGAAGCTCATGATTTCCATGAAGACTGGGTAATAGTTGAATCGCTTTGCTCAGGAGCTTTTAGGGTAGTACGCTGATCAAAATCAGTTGCATTTCGACCTTCCAACTCTACAAGGTTTCGAGAGACGAGCTCGTACCTAGATCTATATCACATTGATTTACCTATTACCACTGACTTTCAGCATCATCAAAGTGGTGCAATTACTAAAGAGCTTGTGATTTTTTTGTACGTCTTACTGTATAATTTAATGTCCGAATTAGTTCAAACTGAATTGATAATATATAATACAAATCTACTTCTGTAGGCCATATTATAGCGATCCCTCTCATTTCCATTCTCAATTTTTTATTGGTATCGCGGAATTACTTCTTGTACCTGTTGTTAGGAACGAAAATTTGGTACGAGAACACGATTCATACAGTGGCCTTGCCATGAAATAAAATGTAGTGGGTGCAGGATTTCACAGAGGACATATTTGTCTCACGGTATAACCTTAACCTTATTTGACTACAGTAATATTTAATCCATTACACATGCGACTCATCGAAGTGGAACTCGGGCTAGTGGAACTGCCATGTACCCGCGCGGCTCTGTTGTTTGAGCACAATCCGTTCGAGTCGGGGGCCACCGCTAGCTTACAGCAAGCGCTGCGTCCCGTACCGAATTATCGTTTTCTTGCGGGGTGGCAGAATTCGCAATTCTCGTTAAAGGCACAATCACCATTGAAAAGGTTTCTCAGACTCCTCTCTCTTCTACCTGTGATCCCCAAGTATAGCACAAGTGGGGGTCGCGTCGAAAACTGGTTTGCATGGGTCGTAATAAGGGCCCCAAAACCGAATAAGCCGACATACACACTTAAAGGCGAACGGCTTCCCACTGTAGAGGCTGTAGAGGTTGCACCACTCACTCAGGGGCACACACTTTGCACGCAGGCAGCTTACTCTAGCCAGCTGCACGCAATGGCAAACACATTTGAAAAGTTCGTATAAATACCCCTTTCATGCAACTTTTGTCGTGATTTCCACTGCCAACCCCTGCCTTTACCTCATTTTTGAAGCCCCACATCTTTATAAATACGCCGATATTCGAGTTATATTCGCCTTTTTTGCACTATTCTTAATTCCACTTCGTCTAGAACTAAGTACCCGTGATCTATGGTCACTTCTGCTGTTGCCTTGGTTTTGGAAGTTCCGTCTTGATCACAAGCTTCGAGCTCCGTTTTTTTCACCCGATTCCTGCAGACTTTTAAGCACGTGCCAACACGATCGCAGACGTTGCACTTTCGTTTTCTTCTGAGCATGGGTTTTGGCATTGTCCCGGTTTGGGGACAATAGCTTTTTTGGATAGTGGCTAGCTAGCTTTTACCCTTTTCTCGGGTGGCGTGTATTGTGGCTTATACACAGTGGCTATGTTCAAC